TAAAAGAAATGATTTTAATTATGCAATGAAAATCAGTGGGGTCCAAAACATTACTGGAACTCACTGATTTTCATTGTATGAACAAACAACATCTGAAGCATTGTTCAAAATATCAACGTATTTTGTGTTCCACAAAATAACTATTCCTGAATAGTTCGCCCAAAAATGAAAATTTGCTTAATGTACTCACCCTCAGGCAGTGCTGGTTAGATTACTTACAAATTGTAGTCCGTTACTGATTCCAAATTATATCACAAAAATTGTAGTTAGTAACATAATCCATTACATTACATATTTTAGGTAATATAATCGTACTACGTTTTTATTACTTTTAGATTACTTCTTGTTACTAGCAACATGAAGTGCATTAAACATTACATTATGTCAAGATTTAGGTTTCTTGAAGGAACTGCAGGGGGTTTGTGAGTTTAATGAAAAGCTAATAATTAAATCAGAAAAATGTGACATTAAAATAAATCATTTTAAAATAGCAACAATTAAAATAAAACGATTAGTAAAGATATTAAATATTTAATGCAAATGCAAAAATCCCCTTAAAATCTCAGGGGATACGTCAAGAAAATATATTAGGTGAAAGATGTTAGGCTCTAAATAAACAAACAAACAAACAAACAAATAAATAATTGTGAATCCCTGCTTTACATGTAAATAAGATACAACTTGAATATGTGCATTTTAATATGTTTGAAGGACAAAAGCCTTCCAAAGACAAAGACTTGTGTGGATAATACATAATCATGTAATCAATAAAGATACGTCAAGAAAATATATTAGGTGAAAGATGTTAGGCTCTAAATAAACAAACAAACAAACAAATAAATAATTGTGAATCCCTGCTTTACATGTAAATAAGATACAACTTGAATATGTGCATTTTAATATGTTTGAAGGACAAAAGCCTTCCAAAGACAAAGACTTGTGTGGATAATACATAATCATGTAATCAATAAAATAGTAATTGTAGTCTGATTACAAGTATTTTAAAATGTATTATAATCTAATTACAAGTACTTTTTGGAATGTGATTACATAATCCAGATTACATGTAATCAGTTACTACCCAGCACTGCCCTCAGGTCATCCAAGATGTAGATGAGTTTGTTTCTTCATCAGAACAGTTCTGGAGAAATGTAGCATTGCATCACTTGCTCACCAATGGATCCTCTGCAGTGAATGGGTGCCGTCAGAATGAGAGTCCAAACAGCTGATAAAAACATCATAATAATCCACAAGTAATCCACACCTCTCCAGTCCATCAGTTAATGACTTGTGAAGTGAAAAGTAAAATTTCAGTAAATTTTCATTTTTGGGGGAACTACCTACAGTAGCTAAACCATTAAGTTCACTGTGATTCAATATTTTTATGTGCGTATATAAAAAAAAAACTTGACTGTAAAACATCTATTTAGTCAAGAGGAATAATTTGCATTTCCTGCATAGAAGAAGCATCTTACTAGAATGGATTTTGTCTTTTAAGTAACTTAAGTAAGGAAGACTGTGCTGCTGTTTGTGAGCAAAAGCGTATTAAAATGTCTCCGCTGGTTTTTCACATGGCTAATAGGTTTCCTATGCTTTCATTGTGTGCTGGTGAACTATGAAACCACACACATAACAGCAGGCTTCAAACTTCCCTTTTAACAGCAGCCAAACACCCAGAGACTGCTCGCCCTGTTGCGTTTTTTCTGTCTCTCGATACAGATTAATACTTATAAAGATAATTCCCATGAATATTTTTTTTACAGACCCTTCGAAGGCCTTTACAGTTTTTATGTGACCATATAGTAAATTTCAAATCAAGTGTAGATTTTCATGACTATATGCACATGTAGGCCATTAAACTTTTGTTGGTCTCGAGTTATTAATTCACTTTGAAGCGCTGCCTAAAACATCTTTGCGTTCTCACATATACACGTTCGTCAATCCGTATGTATGTCCCAGCTATGCTTTGATGGACAGATGGAGTCAGTCGCTCTCAACGTCTTCAGTTTTGCGGCTAATTAATTCAATGTCATTTTGGGAGAGGAATTCCAAACAATGGATTTGTTTGCTGTTGTTTGTATTGGGTTTTAAATGTGATATGGAAAATTCGACGTAATTCTAGGATATAGCCTTATTCTGACTGGGTGTTGTCACAACAGTCAACCGCAAAAAGGCACACAAATGTGCAACAAATGTGTGATCAGAGAGCGCTTCATGTTGAGTAACAGCATCAGAATCCTTGACACACTTGACATGCATCCTGAATGTCTGAAAGCCATTTGAAGAAAGAAAATGCACCCCCCTTATAACTCAAGGAGTATATATCATGAAACATACAGTATATGTGACCCTGGACCGTAAAACCAGTCTTAAGTCGCTGGGGTATATTTGTAGCAATAGCCAAAAAAACATTGTATGGGTCAAAATTATAGATTTTTCTTTTATGCCAAACATTATTAGGATATTAAGTAAAGATCATGTTCCATGAAGATATTTTGTAAATTTCCTACTGTAAATATATTAAAACTTAATTTTTGATTAGTAATATGCATTGCTAAGAGCTTCAGATGTATGAATCTCAATTTAAAAAAATTGACCCTTATGACTGGTTTTGTGGTCCAGGGTCACATATGCTTACAAATAAGCCATCTTCTATAATTATGTATCTACAGGTTCAAATAACAGATATCAGGCAACACATTATTCATTCAAAAGCAGCAATTCCACAAAAGATACAAAGTCAGACCTAAATTGCTTTAAAAATAAAATTATTTAATGAAACAGTAATATTTAGATAATATTGATATTGAAGTTTTATTTTCTATTCATTTTCAATTTAAAGTTTGCATTGTTTGCAACCATATTACCAAATCTTTCCAGTATTAGTTTTAATATCGAGATAAAATATTACAGTTCTTATCAATAGTATAAATTAAATTTTTTTTTTTTTATCGTTTTCTTTTTAGTTTTTGTTAAAGTTTTAGTGTAATTTAATAATTTTATTCTTTTTTCTAATTTTTGGGGTTTTTAATGTTATATATAGTTATATAGTTTTTATAAATTTTTATTTCTAGCTTTAGTTCATTTTAGTACACCAAGTTAAACTAAATGAAAATGAGAAATGTTTCCAACTAGCTGAAATGAAATAAAATAAGTTTTTAAGTTTATTTTATTTCAGTTATCGTTATTTCATTTCAGTAACAACTTCTTTCAGGTAAAAACTTTTTTTATTTTTTTTAAGTTACCAATTAACCCTGATTTTGGCACATGCCAAATACATATTACATATATTTGTATATCCGATGAAACTGTGGGTCTTGAATTTTGTTGCTAGAAAATCTTGTTTTTCTTGCTGGACATTGTAACCACTAGTGTCATGAAACCCGTAAAGCCCTACAGAATCTAAGGAATTTAGTTTCCAAGCCATTCAGTTCAATCGTTATACATAGTAACATAAGTGCACCTTTGAACTGTTGGTGGTAAAAATGGTTGATTTGATGGCGAGACCCTCCTCTTCTTCTCAAACTTTCACCATATGGTTCTATATGAGCTGCCACAGACTCACATCTAGAAACGACAAATTAGGTCATCTGAAAACGAATCAATCTTCCCCTCATCGTAGGGTGTGTTCAGTTTATGAAACACAAACAATCAAGGAACCCGCACTCACTTGCTCAAATACAGCTCATGCGATATTCATAACTTTCTTCAATCTTTCCTCCAGGAAAACTGTTGCCTGAAGAAGACACTTCACTCCTGACTTCTGAGGGCACCTCAGCATTCTGGCATTGAGATGCAGTCTTTAGATAACAAATCTCCTCTGAGGAGCCATCACCACCACTAATCTTCCAAAAAAACTGTATACCTTCTCTACTTAGTAACGCACGTAACTAGTTTTAGCGAGAGAAACTCCATGTGAAAGGAGCCATGGCAGAACAAGTTTGTTTCATGCAATTAATCAATAGAGATACATAATGCAAAACTGAAAAGGATTTAAAAAAAATTTAATTAGATGATAGAAATATTTTAATTATTTTTGACAGAATGGGGTTGGAACGGATGCATAAATCCATCAGTTTAACAGAACAGAGCAGAATCTGTTCAGCAGGGAACGACACTTCCTCTGCAAACATCTATGATGGGACCAATAAAACAAAGCAAATCAAAATGGTGTTAAGAAACAAGTTCAGATAAGATTAATTCAGAGGAAATGAACATGATTCACTAACCTATTAAAAATAATTATTCCATTCTGGATCTTAACAACCAAACGCTTTATTTGAGAACGGAGAGGAAACAGACTACAAGAACACACTTTTCTGGACTGTTGATATCTGACTTTTCTCTGCTGCACAAGCTATATTGTGTTCCTGTTTCAAATAGGTTCACCTTTTATATTTTTAGTTTACTTGATAATGTTAACTTACATGATCAACTTACAAGTCAACATGAAATCTAAATGGATGTTTTGTAATATACATCAGATCTTATTGTACTTAATGCACAAACAAAAACATTTTAATTGCATTTTATGAATTTAGGGTAATATTTATTAAATATACTATTGTTCACTGTTAATTCAGGTTTATTCAATATATTCACTAATGTATATGTATACAACCTGAAATGTTAAAAATGTAATATTTACTTTAAAATAAACTAAAATTACAATTAACTTCACTTAATTCCAGAAGGACAAAATCAAGTTCTGCTCTACATTTTTGTTCCCATTTAATACCCATTTCACATTTTATTATGTTTAATTACAGAACTAAAATGGGTTACGAATGCCATGTTATGTTTTTAAATCCATCATCACCTTTTTACCTGCAAATTAATTATATTGATGTCAAAAACAATTATGTAAAAAAAAAAAAGGGTAGCATTTTAATCATTATACAATCCAATTCCTTTTAAAAAAAAAGTGTAAATCTATTGTCAGGTCAGTGTATAAACACATTACCAAGAACAGGTATATAAAGACACATTCAAAAGAGTAGCTTTCAAAGACTTTATTAATCTCAAACGTGTCCCTTAACTCAGCGCAGGTCAAGAGGTTAGAGAAAAAGTCTCCTCACAGAAAAAAATTCTCCCCGAAGTTTCTATTTGATTCCGCTGTTACTCATTGTCTGAGCTTTGCACACTCCTTTGCCAGCGACCTCAAAGGCAGCTCCCTTGTAAGTGGCCACACATTGGTCATCGGTGCACAAGTCTGGCTGGACCTGCTCCCACACTTTCTTCTTAGGATTCAGCTCCTTGTCGGGCTCACCTGGAACAACAAAACAGAGAGGCAGAGAGTTTGAAGTGCTGATTAGTTTTTCTCCCAACAGCTGTAAAAAGACTGAAAACAAAAGCAGTTTTTGAAATCCTCTCGATATCATTAACATCAGTTATGAACATCAGTTCTAGTCGAGCCAAAACGAGATGCTCCAAAACTCAAGAACTCATGGAAACCAGATGAAGATCTTTGTTTTTGCTACTACCTGCAATAAGCGGACATAAATCAAACCAAAATGAATTCAAAAGCTTGATTTGAATGTTGACGGGGATCCTGTTATTTGCATCTATTCTACTGCTGACCTTTTCACAACCATCATAAGTGCTACAATCCAAATGAGACGAGAAATTCCGAAAGCCGAGAAAGGACTATGAAAGGTCACAGTCTGTCTCCATTACTTTTAATGACGAGTTACAGATGATTGCATTAAATACAAAATAAAAACTGAAAAATAAAATAAAATAAAAAAAGTCATATGAATCGCAAAGACTTTCACATGCGATCATACCAAACTACTGCATGGCAAACCATGAAAAACAACAAAACAAAATAAGAAAGAGTAGAAAAAATTATTTAACAATAAACTGATAGCACCATTTTTTGCTGTAAAGGTCATTTATGAGGAAGTTGGAGAACTGCTTCATTCCTGCTACGTGCTTTGTTTTTGTATTGGGAAAAACTGTGATTAACTTGGAAAAAAATGAATTGGACAACATTTGATGTTTTTTGGCTTAATGGAAAGATGAGGAAGAACTTGACATTGAAAGGTGAAAGAGACACTCTTCTCATTGTGTCCTGGGCAGATGGTCCTCCTCTGCACTCCACATTCACCTCTTCCTGTTAGTTATTGTGCTCAACTGACCGCAAATGCTACACTCCTCCAAATAGCTTCCACGCCAGATCCACCATATTATTTCACAGCACAAGAATAAAATTCGGATTGTTTGTGAGGTTCCCTTAAGCACTTAGGAATTTGCTCTTTATTAGCTCATATAGCAGAACACAAACGATTACGTAACCAAACAACGAACTTCATGTTCTTTATTGAGAGATCTTAAGAATTCAAATGAACAGCCGTGGTTAAATGACAACAAGGTATCTGCAGGATTTTTAAGCTCAAATTTAACTTTTTACGACCTGCACAAATAAAATTAATACCATATGTGACCCTGGAGCACAAAACCAGTCTTAAGTCACTGGGGTATGTTTGTAACAATAACCAAAAATACATTGTATGGGTCAAAATTATCAATTTTTCTTTTATGCCAAAAATCATTAGAATATTAAGTAAAGATCATGATCCATGAGGATATTTTGTAAATGTCCTACCATAAATATATAAAAATTTTATTTCTGATTAGTAATATGCATTGCTAAGAACTTCATTTGGACAACTTTAAAGGCGATTTTCTCAATATTTTGATTTTTTTTGCACCCTCAGATTCCAGATTTTCAAATAGTTGTATGTCGGCCAAATATTGTCCTATCATAACAAACCATACATCAATGGAAAGCTTATTTATTCAGCTTTCAGATGATGTATAAATCTCAATTTCGGCAATTAAGACTGGTTTTGTGGTCCACGGTCACATATGAGCGCAGTAGGGCAATGTCTATTGTAACATATTAAACTGTAAAATGACTGTAAAAAACATGATTTACAGTTCAGATAAAGAAATGTATGAGAAAATGAATGAGTCAAAAGTATAAATTATTTGATTAATTTAAACAATTATTATCAATCAATTATATCAATTAAATAACAAAAATATTTTACTATCTTAATTGTTTATATTTTCCACTAGTTTTTCTTTATAGCTTATAGCACATTTACAACTCTGCGTGTTTGCTGCGTAAAAACGGGTTGATTTTCACATTGGTCTGAACAAAAACAACCGGGCTTATTGAAAATGCACATTCATTCTCTGCCAGCAGGAGACGCTTTTTCAACGGCAGAAATATAGCGGTTTCCCCGGTAACAGCTGTACACAAAGCAGCGCAACACCTGACTTTGAAACGTGCAACGCTTGTGTTGATTTAATGAAATCATAACCCTTTGAGGTTTAAGTCACATTAAGCCACATCGCAATTCTTGTCTTTCCATGCCCAAATTTAAGACCTCTTGAAATCAAAATTAAGACTTTCTTGTACCATTTAAGACTTTTTATGGCCTTAAATTTGATACAACTAAATTTAAGACTTTTTAAGGACCCGCCGAAACCCTGGACAAAGTCTTGAAAATCTGAACCCCCCCAGAGTCACATTGCAAGACGTTTCACCACCGGCATGAAGTCTGATCTACATTACAGCTTATTATGGCCAAAAATCACCCACTTAAACAGGAAGAGACCTTCTGAATGATTTTCAAATGGCCAACTTTTAAGTCTGAGCATCCCTCACAAGATGAAGACATGCTGTGGCAGGTTTGATCAATGATAGCAATGTCTTGTGATCAAACGTGGCAAAGTTTGAATGCTATGGCAAAAGGAAAATTTTCACTGACTACCAACAATCTCTTATATGGCTACAGAAGACTTGGAATATAGTGCATGTATCGTATGGATAAATTTTATATTTTTATGGAGCATTCTTGTCCATTTAGAGCACGACAGCTCCTGGTTACCATATGCTTGCTTCTTTGTTTAGAAAAGAACAACATGAACATTCTGCTTAACTTTTGTGTCCCATTGAAGAAAGAAACTCAAACTGGTTTTGGAACAACGTGAGAGCGAGTAAATCATAGCAGGACAGTAATGTCATATTTCATTGCGGTACGTTTGTGTACTATAAATATGTAACATTACCTGGGAAGCCCTGGAAGGTAATCCTGTCTCCAGCCACGGCTCCACTCGGGGGATCCAGGATTTCAACTTTTTCTGCAGAGCTGGCACACATGACCATGGCCTGGGACAAGACGCCTCTCATCTTAGCATGCTTCAGGTTGCATAGGAGGACAGCCATGCGATTCTGCATCTAAAGACAGAAAAAAAAACATAACTAAACAAGCGGCACAAGAACCAAGTGTGATCTTCTTAAGCAGTTAAAAAGAATACTATAAATTAAATACAATTTATTGCATGTCAGAATGAGAAGTTATGTAACAGTCCAAAAACATCAACAACATATCGTATTATGAGGAACAGCTGGGCAACTTTATAATAGTTGATTTTTTTTGTTTTTATAACCAAGAACCAGGGATGCAGAAAAAAACAGACCCTCAACAAAATTAATAAACTGAATACATGCAATAATCATTCAACTCATCTACTTCCAAATCCCTTACAAAATGAACTGTAGACATTCATTATTATTTCAACTCTATAAATGCACAAACATGCTTAAAGCAACTGTGATGTAGTCATAACCCAACATGATTCAATTAAATGAATGAAGGAAACAGATGCGTTTTATAGGTGAAATTAGAATTTCTGACGAGCTGCTAGGAATCCCCTAAACAAATCGTAAACTCGGGGTTCTGGAAAATAAAGCACAAGAGACTGAGCTGTCTGCATGGAACAGGTTTATGGACCTGCATGAATCGTAGTAGTGCAGACGTTTTATATGAAACTGTAAAACTGAAATATCCCCCTTCCCAATATTCTGAAACATAACACCTAATCAACAAGAGCTGCATTCATTATATGGCAAACAAAGATTGCTCTCAGGTACAGTAGCGAGACGTTGAGCCATCACGTTACTTCAGACTATTCCAAACATTGTCTAATAGGGGTGTAAATATTAGCTCAATTACAAAGAAATTTTTTTTTTTTACTGAACGATACAATGAATCTAGAAAGCTGCGATTTGGCCATGATTCAGCTTGTTTCATGTATGATTCATGTTTCTTTAAATATGCTGAAGACACTTGAAGGACAATTTAATCAATTTTTTTTGTAGCTTTTTAAAGTAAACCAGTAATTTTTTTGAATGAAATATAACAAATCAAAAAGGAATATATTTTGAAAAGGGAATATATTTTGATTAATTTCACATGCTATATTTTAAAAGGTGTAGAATTATTTAATTCTATAAATCAATCAAATCTGACAATAAAAATTCAATGCACATTTAATACTGTGATTAATTTGTAATTAAAGCAATTGCATTTTAATAATGTAATTGTATTTATTAAATGTAAATAATGTTAATTTAATAAAAAAAATTATATTTTAAAAATAAATTAAAATAATTATTTTTTAATTATAATAATGACTTTAGGTGCTTTTTACTTTATAAATCGTGATTAAATGATTTGGTGCATTTCAGAAAATTAAAACAACTTATAATTAATAGCAATAACAATATTAATTGATTAAGGTGCTTTGCAAATTCCTGAATAAATGCATTAAATGATTTGTTGCATTTCAGTGATTTCTGTAATGCCTTTAATTCTAATGACCGTCAAAACTGGACTCGTGATAAACATGGGTTAGATGCGTCAGTACCTGCTCCAGAGGGATGTGTTTGACCAGTCCACTGACAACAGTGCGTGGAGATGCTTCACCAACATCCACCTGCTCAACGTAGAGAGAGTCGGCGTCAGGGTGCTTTTCGGCGCTGATGATGCAGCCCACGCGCAAATCCAATCGAGACACGTCTACTTTCGCCTCTTCCTGAGGCGGCGCCGCTGCCTTCTTCTCCTTCTTCTCACCTGGACCAAAAGTGCATTACAGATCATCAGATGATGTCTTTCACATGTTTTTCTGTTTGTAAGTCAGAACACAAACATGATTCATAACTTTAGCAATTACAACCTTAAATATCTGTAAAAAGCACAAGCTGTGGATGTAGAGCTGTTAGAGACATTGTACCAACCTCGGCACACCGTGTCATTCTTGGGTTTTATTACGGTACATGTCCACCCTGAGGAAATGTGCCTTTAGTTTGTGAGGTGTTTTTAATGCAACTCTTTGAATGATATTTTTAGCTTGTGCATATTGTTCCCTAGGGAGCTGTTGGGATACTTTTAAAAGTCTACAACTGGAAATTATGGCGGCTTTTCATCTGTGTTCTGTTTCTGAACTTTTCCCAAAACAATTGTGCCAGCCAGCAATCGCTTCAGTATGGTGTTTGTTTCTAATCGCTCCAGTCATCTGAAAATAGTACAACTTTACCACTGTTTCCGCACTTATGGGGTTGGTGAACCGTTTTGGATCACCACTTCACCCTACAAGTCTTGAAAATGAAAACCTCTGTGTACTCTATACATGCATAAGCAGTGAACACAATGATTTCCAGGTTGAGGAAATCAAAGCTCTACAGTTCAAAAGTCTGGGGTCAGTAAGACTGTTTTTTAAAGAAATAATATTTTTATTTAGCAAGGATGCATTAAAATGATCAAAAGTGACAGTAAAAACAGTTTTGCCATCACAGCAATAAATTACATTTTTAAATTTACAGTATTGTAAATACTGTAGTAATATTTCACATTATTAATATTTTACTGTATTTCTGATTAAATAAAGGCAGCCTTGGTGAGCATAAGAGCCTTTTTAAAAAAAAAAATCTGACTCCAAACTTTTGAACGGTAGTGTAAGTTTTTCTGTGGGACACAGTTGATAAAATCACTTTACAGTCAAGAAGGTCAAACATCTGAGGCCAAAATGACCATTTTTCATGCCAAATTAATTTTATATTAGATTTATTTCATCAAACATACCAATTATTGCTTTTAATACTTGAAAAAGTGAAAGGGCACCAAAGCTGCACCTTATGTGGAAAGTGCCAGTAATATTTTTCATATTTATTCATTTTCACGCAACACTGCAAGGTGGCTGGGTTAAACCTTCTTCATTTTCTCAGAAAACCTTTTGAGTTTCAGGTAAAGTTGTCAATAGCTGTTAAATATGCTTCTTATTCCAAACTTTTAATAAGGAAAAATGAGTGTAGTACACGACCCTTCACTTTGAAGCACAGACTACGTGTCTAATTGATTCAATCACAGCCTTTTGCGGTTTAATAATCACACATGGCTATTGTGAATTCATTGGTGATGTACATTAATCACGCAGCCCTAATTTAAGAAAATGCTGGTAGAAAAAGTGCCAAGAGTCCTCAAAGTCTTCTAAATGTGAGAAATCATGTAGTTCTGCCAAGAAACAGATATGCATGAACTACAAGTGCTACATCCACACCGAAACACAGCATTCAACGCTGAAGGAAAAGAGACGTATTTGAAAATAATGAAACTCCTTTTTACATCTGGCTCAAAGGGAACGCACAAGTTAACTTGTTATTCCTCAGCCCATAAATGCACAAAAACGATCTGTGATCTGTACTTAGATATGAAGCTGAACAGAGCGTTCCCAAGTTGAATGGATATAAGTGATTGGAAATGAAAATCATTTTTCATAATAAATAACCATGAAAGGAAATCTGATCCATTTCAAATGCTCTATTCTTTAGGGTATGAATACTTAGAAACGTAACCCCCTAAAGACAGCGGTGACGTCTTTAAATCTGGTTTGCCTTCAGATCTGGTTGTAACCCAAATGAGTTTGACCTGCATCCACAACTTGCATTCACTCATAGTCTCTTCTCAAGCTTTTCAAATGTGTTCATTACACGGCATTGTTTATGAGAGTGGGATTGTGCATTAGTAAAATGTTTTTCTCATTTATGTTCCTATCTGACGTGTAAATCATTCACATATTCTCCAAAAATTCTATTAACCCCTAGACATGACACAGTCTACTCTTAATAAGTCATTTTTATGGCCCTATATGATTGACACTTTCTTTTCAGTGGAATTTACAGCGGCTATCCTGAATTATAAGTAGACATAAAAGTTCTATATGCAACTTAATTTCATTCAGTGGGAGTAGATTTAGCAACTAATTCGAAAAGATCTGATTTTGATTCTGACATCGCAAACGTTTTGGATGGGGTTGCAAATGAATCAACAGCACTGGAAACTTTGCCACTGCAGAGATGAGCTGTTATAAAGGAAATGCCATATTAATAGTCTCAGAAGTATGCTTACCCTTCTTCTCGGCTTTCATCTTTTTCGTGTCATCGTTGTTTTTGGCTGGTGGGGTTTCTGTGGCTGGGGCAGGAGCAGAAGGGGCTGCTGGGGCAGGTGGCTCTGAGGCTGTGGGTTTAGAGACACACTGGATGCTGGGCTCTGCTGAAGGCATGGCCACATCTTTCACTGCAAAGAACAAATCAAATTATTTCACTACTTTATCATTAGAAAAACTATGCTTTTGTGAACACAATGCTAAGATTTACTTATATTAATCTGAAGGCACTTCTGATCACCATAACAGGCATCACTGATGTTTAAACGTAGGTGGTCACATATTGATGCATTTAATTTTAGACTATAGACGTTTTGAAATGTAAAAGTTACATTATGTTTTCAAGTACAGTATCTTAGTATTTCATTATTTCCAAAACATCAGCAAGAATGCAGTATATTGTGTGATATTATACCTCCTCTCCTCTTTTCCATTTCAAGAAGTTGATTCTTCAGTTCCTCGATGTCCTTCTTGAGCTTGGCGTTCTCCACCATCAGTTTCTTTTCCTCTTTCACCGTGGCCTGCACAACTACACCAAACAACACATTCATTAGAACAAGACAGACACACATTAATTCAGAACTTCTCAACCGTCTACTGCTTATGTACTGTAAGTTACAATGTCAATACAACAGTCCTTTTTAAAAACCGCAATCACACAATCAAAGTCACTGTGCTTTAAACACACAAAGCTATTTTAGTTTTATAAAAGATATTCACTTACTATGTTTTTGTTTGATATTTTAGCACAACGATAAAATAAACACTACAAAAGTTTAGTGGCCGTAAGATTTTGAAAATGTTTTTGAAAGAAGTCTCTTCTGCATACCAAGGCTGCATTCATTTGATCAAAAATACAGTAATATTGTGAAATATTATCACAATTTGAAAATTATGTAATCAATTCCTGTGATGATAAAGCTGAATTTTCAGCATCATTACTCTAGTCTGCAGTGTCACATGATCCTTCAGAAATCATTCTAATATACATTTCTTCAATGTTGAAAACAATTTTGCTGCTCTATATATTTTTGGGAAACTTTGATACTTTTTCCATGATTCTTTGAATACAAGGTTCCAAAAAACATCATTTAATCAATTTACTGCATCCTTGCCGAATAAAAGCATTCGTTTATTTCGAAAAAACGAAAAAAAAAACAAACTTACTGACCCCAAACTTTTGAAAGGTAGTGTTAAAATATAAAATAATACATGCATCTTTATAATATTTTTCCCTTATTAAAATAATATTGTTTTGGTTCCAATGGTATAAACGTTTGAAACCTCTATAAATGCAAATATTATACTTCTAAGCACATTCTGAAGTAGATTATTAAACGATTCCTTTTTCTGCTTTTCATCCTCTCAGACATCCTTACTGGTCATTGACCCGGGTTCAACACACATGCACTCCTCATGCATCCACTTACTGGCTTTCTCCTTCAGCAGCTGGACCTGCTGCTTGAGGTATTCGATGATCTGGTCAGCCTCCGCGGCCTTCTGTTCCAGTCTCATGAGTGAGGGTGTGTGGCCTGACATCCTGAAAAGGGATCGTACCAGGAACCTGAAAAACAAGCCAAAGGAAAAGATCAAACGCTGTAGGAACTCTTAGTCACTCATAAACATGTTTTTTTTAAAAAGAGGATCCACAGAGACATCCTATCCGTGTTTGGGAACATGCGGCACTTGAGAGCACGGCCTTGTTAAATGAGATCTTTTCAGATCTTTGGCACATGTAAACATGAGGTGTTTTGGCACACTTTACACGTGCTTTAATTTGTAATTTATACCTATACGTGGCCAAGTTTCTGTCCTAAACCCCTTCCATGAAGGAGAATTATAATGAAACAGCTGACACCAGCCAGATGCTCAACAATAGATCGGCTAGATGCCAAACAACATGCGAAAACCTCATCAAAGCTTACATTCTCCATCCTAATCCCAGCGAACCCTGCTTTGGATTCTCACTTCAGTACTGTTAGACCGTTTAAATCGCCTCGCCAATGTCCAGGTCAACAGCAATATTCTCCAACAACGAAGCGGATGGAATCAAACCATATGGCATTTAAATGTGTGTGTTCTCATGTCCACGATAATACAAATACTGCGTAATTGCATCACTGTCCTCTCGGCTCTGTTTTGATTGAGGAATCCTCTTTGGCTCCACAACGGATCAAACAACAATTCCCATTCAGTCGAAAGACAGCTGGGGAAGGAACATGGACACGTTACACATTTGGCTTGGGCTCATCCACTGCAAAAGGACTAAGGGAATTTTTACAAGGCGTAGGAAAAGAGAAGAACACATCATAACACATAGTGCAGGGTGGTGCTGGAAAACAACAGCTGGCGCCGGATGAAAACAGAGAGTTCAGATGAGGAAATTAGAAACACAAAAAAGCTGGAGTTGATAATATCGTGGATCAAAGTCTCTTGTTTTTGAAGTTCTTGAACTGCTTTAAATGGGCCTGTGGTGGAAGAATTTATGAGCACCATGACAGGACTGTTTTCATTTGCATAACCCCTGAAAACGAGTCCCGGGGCCGAGCCGGAGCCCAAAACACTTCCAAAAAGCTCAGTTGTCACCGTTTTCCCATAATGCCCTGCAGCGGTGGTCATCGGCATCATATGACAGCCTATAAACATGCATATAATGCATGCAACAGATATACAATTTCTGAAACGCAACCAAAAAACGCAAAGGCGTCTGTGAAACAAACCTTGAAATTGTTAGGCCATGTGTTACATCTGACACCAGTGAATGTAACACTTGCAGGAGCAGCTGTCACTGTCATGCAAGTCTGAACGGTGAGGAGATAATGACTACGCACTTGTGCCACACATTAGCCAGCGCTTCCATTGGCCACCAGCCCCAGTCAAATCGCAATAAAGACTTCATTCTCTTCTATTCAAGAAATTCCAAATCCCACAGGAATGTTTTTATGTAACCGTAATTGTCCTTGAAATAACTGCATAGGGACCCAAAAGAAAAGCACATGACATGTCCTATATTTTACATCTAGACTATTTTGGGACACAAAAAAAAATGTGGAATATGATTTTTTTTTTATTAATGTGTAACCATTTATTTGATAATTATTAAAATAATGTATGATTTATTATTATTATTAATTATAAACAATTATTCTAATTTATTTAGTAAGTTTAAGGTCTGTAAAACAAACATGTCCATTTTAATATGACAGAACTGGAGAAATGATTATTGTATCAACACATCTGTAACATTTATTATCGTTTACAACACCTTCTTGCATTAAGTCACTACACTGATTTACGAATTGGAAAATAGGTTATGTTTTACGCGAATGGACTCTATTATGTTAAACAAATTAAACAAGATGAAGGCTTTTTCATATATAGGTGGCCTGAGCAATCACAGTAGAATTATGCAATATGATGAGAATAAGACAACACCTTGCATCATACTTTTGTAAATTAATTTCAGTTATATATTCTAATAACTGTTCAGAACAAGTGCATGAACCTGTTTGACAGACCACATACTGCAAGTGAAAGTAAAAGTAAAACAGAAAGCAATCTATTAAAGAATTACTCATTTCAAAGTCAATGGCCATAAATGTTAAAATAATAATTACGAGAGAAATAACAATATATTAATTATTGATGCCATTTTTGTCATAAATCAACAAATAAATTCACTTTTTAAACCTTTAAAGCAGATGACGTCTATGCAAGGATGGAAATTTAACCATAATGTGCCATAATACGATGGGTTTTTTTTTTCAGTAGCGATATTCTGCAGAAGGACCATCATGACTCATGATGACATTATTACCGTCTTTATATAACTTGTTAGGCTAAACACAGTGCTGACTGTCATCTTCATAGCACGTCTGTCCTTTTACATCTCGACTTTAACTACATTCCTAACACATTATATAGACAAATACAAAATACTCATTAACTAAAAACGTCAATGCGAGCTCTGCTACTCACATAAAACTGAAACCGTATGTTTCTTTCCTACACAGCCACACACCGCACTTTCACTTGCCTCTCCGGCGTTGTAAGCTGATGACGCCACGGTCACGCGTCGTTCAGCTGTTCGCTGGCGCGGGATAAACGCGTCAACGCGCTGTTTACAGTCGCCGGAAGATTAAACTGATCTCTCAAAATTACAAATATATATCAGTAATATTATCAATGGACACGTGAATCAAATGGAGCAGTCTTTCATTTCAGATAAACAGGTATGCCGCTTATTTTATTTTGCGTTTGTAAAAGCACTAACGCAAGCAATCGTACAGAAATATATGTGTGTATTGTAAGTTATATTTCAATTAAATATTGTAAAATATTATTGGTTTAGTTTATGTTGTAATCGTGTCAGACAAAATATTGTGTTATGCTGTAAGTTAAAAAAAATGTTATGATTAATCTAGGTTGTCTTAATTTATGTGTACTGACATGCATGGCACTCCTAATTTACCACGATTTTACTGTAGTAACACTGCAATAGCTATTTATGTTGTATTAAAAAAATCCTTATTGATTTCAGAAATTACAAAATAATGTACAGAAATAATTCATAACCATTTAAAATTATACAACTATATATATATATATATATATATATATGTATGTGTGTGTGTGTGTGTGTTCTGTATAACTATATAATCTGTATGCTGTGTATTCCCCATGTCAGTGTGTTTGTTGAGCATCAGGCGAGTCATGCAGCCCCTCAGAGATGCGGAGCTGGGAGCCTCCACCTTCTTCGCCTCTCCTCTTCCTCATGATGTGTGTGGCAGCAATGGTCTTCCTCTCACCCCCAACTCCATTAAGATCCTGGGACGCTTTCAGATCCTCAAGACCATCACCCATCCCAGACTGTGCCAATATGTGGACATCACCAGAGGGAAGCATGGTATGATGGCTTTCATGCTTTATTGTAATGCATTTCTCACTAAATGACTGGCAAATCATCAGATGCCCAAAAAAGATCAAGTCTAGTCAAGTCAAATTTTTTATAGTGCTTTACAGATTATTCCAGCTTCACAGTATTAAACAGAAAAAAATCAGAATCAATGATGCAAACTTCAAAAATGAGACAAATCCAATTTCCGCTGTAAAGCAGCTGTAACAAGACAATAGTGTCAGTCAGTTCAGTGTTGGTTCAGACAAGTACATTTTGTTCATTATGAAACAAGTTCAATTCAGCTATGAGCAGCTCTATAGAAGACAGCAGTGTTGTTATTCAGCTTGAGTCAGTTCAGTGTTGATTCAGTAACAGTGTCTGTGTTGCAAAATTCGTAGCAAGACAATAGTGTCAGTCAGTTCAGTGTTGGTTCAGACAAGTACATTTTGTTAATTATGAAACAAGTTCAATTCAGCTATGAGCAGCTCTATTGAAGACAGCAGTGTTGTTATTCAGCTTGAGTCAGTTCAGTGTTGATTCAGTAACAGTGTCTGTGTTGCAAAATTCATTCAATTCAGCTATAATGCAGAAGACAACAGTTTCATTGTTCAGCTTAAATTCAAGTTTTGCTTTCATCCGATAGTGTCAGTGTGGTTAAATCGATAATAGTACTGAATATTAAGTGTCTTTTAAACCCCAACAAAGCAAGCCAAAAGCAGAGCCCAAACTCTATTAGGGTAACAGTATAAAGAAGTAACGTCCATCGACAAATGACAGTAAATACAGTTTATTTCCTAGAAATAACTCATAAAACAATGCAGCTCATGGCTATCTACTGTAGTTAATTTGCCACTAAATGTTTCAAAATCTTGAGAAAATTGGATGGCTTTTTTCAGAAGTGCTTTGGTGTAGCAATGTTGTACCTTGTAAACATTTTGTTATCTTTGTAAAGTTTCAAAATTAATGAACACTGCAACATTGACACTGTTATTGAATCAACATCGAACTGAACTAAGCTGGATAATGACATTTATAGCTGAAATTGAAGTCGTTTCATAACTCAGAACATGCAACATTGACAGTTATTTTCCTGTTTATTTCTGTGAAGCTGCTTTGAAACAAGCGCTATATGAATTAAGTCATTCAATCGTTTTAGAACTTGCCAGATCAAAAGCTCTTGAGTTTTTTGTGCGATATGTATCAGTTTATGTCTCTAGTTATACAGTAGCTGTTTATTGGACACCTTGGACTGGAGACTTTAACATCAGAAGAAATGCACGTCGTCACCTTTATATTGATGTCACAGTTGTCTTTGCACAGTCATTAAGTTGAAATGTGTGCTTTTTCACCAAGTCTGTTTTTGTTTTCTGGTGCTCTTCAGAGTTTTATCGTCTTTTATCTTAGTGATTTTTATCTTTGTGGTTTAATGACATTATTCATGTGCGGATTCTGTCTGTGAGAATCGTTCTTTTTATCTTTAGTTGCTTTATGACTATTAGCTCAGTATTTATCATGCACGCGTCCCCTATGAGAAAACCCTTTGACATCGATGCATGTGTGTATGCAAGCACATGTGTTTGAAGTCCTTATGACATTATGCAGATTTATTAGAGTTATAACTTTCTTTCATGTTTGAGAAATGACCTTGAATGCAGGTCATCATCTCGCCGGAGGGAATATTCATTTCTGAGGATAATGACTGGGTTATTAAAGCCAGTGTTTAAAATCTTCTCTTCTTTAGTTTTTTCTTCACTATGTGATTCAAATGGGAATAGTATGAATGTTGTGCGTTTTGGAGTGGTCGCAATTGTAAAACAATAGTGTTTTTTGAAGATACTGCGATTTTTCTCAAATATAGAATAAATAAATCACAGATAAATTGACTTGAGATGCAAAAATGTTCATAGCTCAAATAGTAGAGAATGGTGCTTGAATAATCCAAGGGTTTGATTCCCATGAACTCTAATTTGTCCTGTTGACATTTTGCAGAACGGCTGGTTATTGTAGCTGAGCACTATGAAAAAAGCTTGAAGGACTTTCTGAAGCAAGGGAAAGCAGTCAGGTAACACATGCAAGATCTTGATGATGAACTGAGCATAATGCATATGGAATATAACTGATTGCATATGGTCTGTATACCTGACATTGCTGAAAAACAGTATTTATTTGAAATAGAAATAGCCTAAATAAATGTCCAACTGCAGGTCAGTTTAAGGCAACACCAACAAATAAAAGCATCAGTTTATTTAAATGACATGAATATAGTGATTCCATTGGTGATTTACCATGGTATCACAATTTGATACAACATTGTCCTATGGTACCATCGCAATATTTCTGAAAGGTGTATTTAAACATTTCTCTCTCTTCAGAATTGACTCAGTGACTAGTTTTATTGATTTTATCATTTTGAATCTGTTCTACATCATCAGGTCAATAGAACCATTGCTTAATATTTTGCAGCAGAGCTTTTTTTTGTTGTTCTGAGATTCATTAGTGGCTTGTATCTTCTCATGTGGAAGCCATTGACACTGTTGTCAATTTTTTCATGTGGCCAGTTTTTGGAAAGCTTTTCTTTTTTGAAAGCATTTGATCGTTGTGTGTTATCTTTGGACCATACTATAAGGGCGATATGTTGTATGAATATGGACACATTTGGGATCAGAGTGTAAGAAAATGATGATTGTTGATAGCAGTTGTAACTCGGGTCAGCAGTGTGACAGCAGTTCACTATCAGAGACTGTTGCCGTAGATGGTATTTTACTGAGTGAATGTTACTAAAAATGACTTGAAAACAAGACAGAGGACAAAAACAACTTACTGAAACCAGTAAAGCTTCCATTTTTAGACAATATATAATGCATTGAGTAACAATTTCCAATCAGACCAGTCATGCCGAGCAGTATTTTCACCACCTCAATAACCTATCCAGAGTTTTCCAAAGAAACATGTTTTTCATCATCCAGACCTTTCTGCACATTTTTAGTCAGAAAAGTCAGAATGTTCTGTTTATAAAATATTTGACTGATAAGAAAACAGCAGTTTACAGTAAAAGTACATGAGGAGCGCTTTATTCAACACCCTGGTTAGAATCATTTATTAATAGTTCATGTAATCATCCTTATTGTTTCATAATAAAGCAAAAACCGTCCCACTTTTGTTCATTAAATGACATAAACTTTTATCCCCATAAGGAATTCGTTTTTGAGGTCAGACTAACCCAGCAGCCTGTGTTTGTACAGGCTGTTTGTCCTGTGTGTCTTCAATTAGAAGCAGACAATTGCAGTGTCCTTTACTTTCTGCTCTTTTTTTCAGCCAGTGTCATGTTATTAAGCACAGAAATACTGTAGCTGTTTGAGCGGAATTCACAGCTAAACCAATGATGTATTCCCAATAACTGATTCATTTTAGCAGTGATTAAACAGCTCAGACTGCTAATGGCACTTAAATTAATTATTATTATAATATTTAATAAATAATATGTATACTATACTAGACTATAATAACTGTTTGTATTTTGTCTTTTTACTTTTACTTAAAGTTTGGGAGTGTTAAAATGTCAAATTTACCAGATTTTTTGTTTGTTTGTTTGTTTGTTTGTTTGTTTGTTTCTTCTACCCAAAAATATGTGATCGTCCATAACCAGGTCTTTATTCCAGGATAGGTATATATATGAGTAGACTTAGGAATATGATTTTAATGGTTTTAATATTATTTAATAAGTTTCATTTTTCATGATTTCAAGATGTTTTTGTCTCTTAGTCCAGAGAAGGTGCTACAGGTTGCCTATGAAGTGCTGGAAGGCTTGGAGTTCATGAATAAACATGGCATGGTGCATCGTGCTTTGTCTCCTAACAATGTTCTCCTGGACTGTGTGGTATGTGAAAACACAGACGTGTATTGAGAACTCACTTTTATTTAATTTTAATTTAATTTAATTTAATTTTATTTTATTTTATTTTATTTAATTTAATTTTATTTTATTTTATTTTATTACATTACATTACATTACATTACATTACATTACATTACATTACATTACATTACATTACATTACATTACATTACATTACATTACATTACATTACATTACATTACATTACATTACATTACATTACATTACATTACATTACATTACATTACATTACATT